CTATAACGCTTTTTCAACACATTAAAATGATTGTCAAAATAAAGTATGCTATTTTTCCAAAATTTGATAAGAGTAGAATAATCTTGTTAACCTCTCTTCAAAAATGGTATTAGTAAATTAAGTAAAATAATATGGTTTACCTAATTCCCAACCTCTTTAGAATCGAATTCATATATTACTGAATGTACTGTGGCACCTTGCCATACAATGACTTGAATTTTGAAAGAAAATATTGTTTTTGCTATTTACATTAATATTACCACCATCATCACAACTACATCATTAGATTTGAACTGTATGCCATGTCCAAGCTGAATGCCAAATGTGAGCTTGAGTCCCAAAACAGTTTTCGCTTGTATAATTTGCGCAAAAAGTGAAAGTCTACAATTACATTAATCCTTCGTCACCTAGATTAATCCTATATAACAGATCAAATTATTTACTCTGTTGTTTGCTATTAAGCACGGTGTTTGCTTAAAATAATAAATATGCAACAAAGGTAGCTATTTCATACCTTATGACAAAAGATTACCTCTTCTTTTTTCCTTTAAGGCATGCAGAAAGAATAGAACGCTTAGGAAAGAAAATTTTTAAAGAAAAGTTTTTTTTATGAATTTTTTATTTAACACAATCACTCATCTTTGTAAATATGCCTAAATATGTTAAAAAGTTTTAAATTCTTTTTCTTTACTCTCTTTTAAAATTATAATAGTTAATTGCATTTTAGTATCAGAAGCAGCTTCCTTAAATCTAATATCATATTAAATTGTTGATTCATGTGCGTTAATTGCAAATGTTATTATTTCAGATGCTGTGCGAGTCCATGCAAAAAATGCGACTGATGTTGAAATAATTCAAGTAGTGCAGTCATGGCTACGTCACGCTAAAGAAAAATTGAAAAGAGCTGAGAAGCTAAACATAACTGTGTAATTTTTTAAAACAAAAATTGTAATCAATTGTTTTATTAAATTAATGTTTATTCCCTTGCTTTTCTTAATATATTTAGAAATAAAATGATGATCCTTAAGCGGAATTTTAAAGAAAATTTAAAAAATTACGAGGAGAAGAATTTTATAATGTCATAAAATGTAAATATTTGTAAAATATTTGTTCAACAGTTATTACTGAAATTATTTAATAGCTCCACTGGTATTTATGTAACTTGATATAATAAAAAACTTTACTTTTGTATTTTCTTTTAAAACAATATGCTATGTACACATATGTGCTATACATTATATTTTGAAGTGTCTAATATAATACTAAAATAATTGTAGAAAGATAACCTTACAATATGTAGTTACATTTTTAAAAATATTTTACGGTTTTCAATCTTATTATCATACAAAAGCAGTGTGAATTTTTAACATGTATTATATTTCTTACTGTACTTTTTTAGAGATAGATTCAGTTTCTCAAATACGTGTAAAATAATATAAATTTGAAGTTTTATTCTCAACTTGTGAATGTAACCATTGATACACAAATAAAATTACGTTAAATTTCATTTGAAAAATAAGACTTTGTAATTTATTTCAAAATATGTCTTCAATACTCAAATGTAAAATTGCCCAATATTTCACCGTTGAGTATTAAGAAACATAAACTTTAGGGTACCTAAGCTTTACACTCAAAAATTTAATATTCATAATTTAAGCACAAGTTGTCCATTGTTTAGAAGTTTTAGTTTAGTCTCTTCATTGAAATTTGTGAGAAAAACAAATTGCTTTCGAAATGCGTTGAGCTTTTTCAAACCAAATATCTGTTAAATAAGGATTGAATTTGAAATTATTTCTGATTTACGTAACTATTGTTATAATGCAAAGGGTATTTACATTCTTTCAACAGAATCATCATTGATGATAAGGTCTCAAATTTATTGATGCAGGAAGAAGAAACGGATAGGAATTTTATTTTTAAATGACTTGAACAAAGATAAGGACAAATGATTTGACTTGTTTATTGCGCTATAGCAAAACCTTTATTGCTTAAATCAAAAAATATTTCATTAAAAAATCAGTTTAAGAAATCAAATTTATTCGTCTCTTACACTAATTTTCTACGAAATCGAATCCTCTTATATTAATAAAAGTGTTTGCAAGGGTCATTTATTTACTCATGGTTAAGTTACAGTATACACCAAAGGCCATAAAATATACTTAAATCAGTTGAATTTCTTTCTGTTAGTACTGTAAGTTTTTGTTTATTCTTTATGTTGGACTTTTAAGAATTTCAGGATATATTTTCTCTGCGTGTAGTGCCGTCCTTTCATTTCGATGATTTTCTTAAATACGTGCACATGTGAAAAAGAGTTTTAATTTTAGACACTTACTAATTTGAAATACTTACTGAAATTTATTTACTAAATATAGCTCTTAGAAAAGAGAATTTCAGAATTTCTAATTAAATTTACTTTGAATATGTGTTCAAAATACAAATCATAATACTAGCAAACATGCGAAAGTGCAGCACAGGAGACGTTTAGACAGCAATTTAAAGGTACGTGCTCTAAATTTAGAAATTTGTGTACTTCCAATATAGAAAAATTTTTTATCAATAATCTTTCAAATGGAGGGGTGATTAAACATGAAGTTCAAAGTTTCATATTTAACAGGTTTTGAAAAATATAATTATTTAAACAGTAATATTATTTTATAAATTATTTTAATCAGTATCTGTTATCAGTAACTTTTATGTTGCTGAATAATAATTCTTGGAAATCTGAATGATGCATTTGAAGTACAAAATGTAACAAAGTAATTTATGCCACTTAAAAGCCGTTCCCTATTTTGATATAAATGCCATAAGTCATTTAATTACATTTACATAATTTACATTGTTATTCAAATCAGAGTGAATGTTCATCCACACATTTATATTATTGATGACTGCAAAATATGATGAGTAGATGAATAAATTTAAATAATAATTTAAAAAATAAGAGTAAAATTATCTTCTGCAGCATTTTACACTGACTCATCATTTTGAGTTTCTTGCATATTTTCGGACCTATTTAAGAATCATTAAATAAACCAAAATTTAAATTTAAATGAGTTAAATTTACTAGCTTATAGAACATTATGATGTGATCTCAAACATATCCTAGGAATATCATAAGCAGGAATATTTAAGTCCTCAGAGCAAAATTAAATTACATATAATATGTAAATTACATATATAACTTAATTATGAATAAGTTATATATATAATTTACATGTTAAATATAAATTATATGTAACTTAATAATGAATATTGGAGAATTTAATTTTGAGTTAGTAGATGTTTAAATGTAACCAAAAGATTTTCAATATTTTAAAAATAAAGGATAGAGAATATCTAGATATGATATATTAGGGAGGATAGTAGAATATTCCAGAATGTCCTGAGGATGTAGTAAGTAGGACTTTAAATCCTAATAACATCCCATACGCTGTCTATGGGACCTAGATAGGATATGATGGGATGTGTTTAGGAGGCTAGTGGGATATCCCGGGATGTCCTGAGGATGTAGTAAGTAGGAGTTGAGATCCTAATAACATCCCATACGCTGTCGATGGGACATAGATAGGATGTTCTTAGGATATAATGGGATGTGTTTAGGAGGTGAATGGGATATCCCGGGATGTCCTGAGGATGTAGTAAGTAGGAGTTCATATCCTAATAACATCCCGTACGCTGTCGATGGGACTTAGTTAGGATGTCCTGAGGATGTACTGGGATGTGACATTAAGCACTCGGGAGGAGGTGTTTAGGAGGTTTGCGGGATATTCCGGGATGTCCTGAGGATGTGCGCATATCCCGCGAGCAACATCCTCGGGATATCCCAAGGATGTTTTTGTGCTATGTGGGTATACATGTATGAGAGTAGTGTCTGCATTGGCATAACTAATGTTGCTGCATCATTATATTGCAATGAGAGGTTTCGTTTATCTTCAGAAACTAAAATTAACTTAACTAGAAGATTGATACCATTCTGCCTTAATGGTTTATTCAAAGAGAAAATTATGAATAATTCTTCTCGATGATATACTACAGATACAAATCTCTATAGATGGAATACATTTCATAAAGCATAATTTTATGCCTTACCAATACAGTTGTTTATTTCAACAATTTGTTTGCCCAAATGACCACATCTCTTAAGTAAAGAAGTCTAGACTTCAATGACAAGTTCAATGAAAGACTGAGTGCTTTTCAAACAGAAACTAAATATAAAAATACATTAAGAACACTTTTTTTTTTTCTTATTACTCAGGTCTGTACATACATATTTATGCAACCACCTTTATAGAAATCGGCAATTCTTCAGAATTCCCAGACCAACAGTTTTTTTATTATTAATAAATCGTCATATTAGCCTTACACTTAGTTTTAAAATATGAATTTGTGGAATTTGCCAGCAATGGAAGAAACTGCAGTAAAATTTCTACAAGAATACAAAATTTTCTAAAGAGAACAAGGAAATTCGTTTCCTAAATAATTGCTATTGCTGAAGATTGCACAAAGTCGAGTCTCTGCATTTCTGTGATTTTTTAATAGCGAAAACAGATAATTGTGTATTTCAGGAGAAGAATACGACAAAACAATCATAGAAAGAATGTTTCCTTTTCCTCTGTTGATTATGTTTATCAGCTTTTGATAAATATCAATAGTTTGGCAATCTTTCTAGAAAATAGGAATGAAAGCCACCAACTTGCACACAAATAAGTTACTTTTAACTTTTCATTTTAACAAATTACCAAACTGTGCCAAGGTTGTTGCATTATTATGTAACTGCTATCAGATCTATATTAAATTTCAAAATTTAAAACGTAAAATCATCAAACATAAACTCAATAAAACTGAAAATCATAAACCATGCAAAATAATTAGCAAGAGAATAAATACTTCTAATTCATATAAAAAGACTTAAAAAACTAAATCAAAAGTGATCAGTACTTAAAAAAGTTACCAAAAAAATAAATCACTGACATATTCTCAACATAACAATTTAAACTTACCCCATTTTAAGCGTATGAATTCATTTTTTGCCATGTTCACTTTTCCTTCTGGAAAAAAATGTACCCATGCACCAGCATTTAGTCGTTCTAAACAAAAATCCATTCCTTTCTGATAAACTCCAGCGCCACGAACAACAGGAAATGTCTTTCCCAAAGCGAAAAATTGAGCATGCCAGTCATTGGTGAAACATATATCATGAGCTGCAGCTGTCCATCTCATTATACGACTATTAAGAACATGCCTCCAATCTAAAATGCCTATAATCAAAAAGAAAACTATTTAATTTTTTTATTCAGATGACATTATTATAACTTCATTAATTATAACAAAACAAAGAAGATTTAAACAAAATTGCAAAGAACAAGATTGCCACTCAAACAGGAGAATGCAATTAATTCCCTAACTTTTCCAGACGTTTTTCAAGAAACTTCCAGGCTATCCAAATAGTACGCATTGGCTGTGCTGAGGATAAATTAATTATGGTACCACTTGAAAACACAAAAATTTGTCAATTACATATGACTTTATACATGACATATTTTAATGTGCAGGAGGAATCCGGTACTTTTGGCTGTAGACATGGATGAATGCAAAGGCATGCAGATGAAGATAACAAAACTGAGCTTGATTAATCACCATCTTTATTTTTCTTCACATCAAATTATTTCCTCAGCAGACGAATTACTTTTTGATCATCGTTGAATACAATAATTTTTACGTACACAGGTTTTAAAGGTATGATGACATAGGCATTTTAGTATGGCAAAGCAAAAGCAGCACAGAGTTTGTAGCATGGCAGGAGCTAGAAAAATGAATGACCTATTTTCCTATGAGCGGTATTTATACCTAGTAGATGCAGGAAGTACTCTAAACTGTGGTTTTAGTTACTTTTTTGAAGGAGTTGTTATGTAAGATGGAAAAATCTCGAATTTGAAAGAACAGATGAATTTAGGGAAGAGAACACCAAATCTTGAGTAGTTAATTTCAAGGTCGCCAATTATTTCTTAAAGCAGCTATCGTATTT